CCTGGTCCTTCTCTATCTGCTCCGACACCTGCCAGGAGGATGGCAGAAGCTGTGCCATCTCCTCCTGGAGACAGCTCCCCGCGGATGCGATGCCCGAGGGCTTTGTTGCTGCGATTTCTCTGCTCTCAGCACACTCAGATGCCTCTGAGAGGCACGTGCCAGGAGAGCGGCTTGGCAAGGACCGTGCTGTAAGTAGCTGGCACGTCCCGGGCGTGTATGAACGGGTGTGACTGCTGCAGAGCAAATGCGGGAGGCGAAGCCAATTAGCCCAAGATAGTCGACAGGCTTGTAGCAGCTATAGTTACAGCAATATGCTCTCTGCGGGGGAGTAACTGATTGCCCAAGGCACAGACAGATATAAGGACCAGAAAGAAACAGATATAGAGATCATTGCTGCAAGTAGGACCGCAGATTGGCTGACTAACAGCATCTCACGTTGATATTTCCATTCAAAATGAAACCACCTTCCAAAAACTATTACCAAACCTGTGGTGCCTGTGAAACCCACGAAGACTTGGTAGCACAAGTGGCTAATGATGAGTTTTGCAAAAGGATTTATTGGAGGTTAATAAGTGTAAACTGGGAGCTGAAGAGGTTTTGTAGGTTGGGAGCAGGGACTCCAGTTCTGCTTGCTCTTCACTTTGGAGAGATCTGACCCGCATGCAGAGGCTCATCTAGGTCACGGTTGTTCAGTGCAGAGACCTGTCTTCTGGGTGGTTTCACTCGCCCCTGCAAACCTGCCTGAAAGCCAGAAGAAGCAACTGCAAGGAGAAAAAAAGTTAGCTGTCAAAGGGAAAAGAGGAATCAAGGAGGGGAAAATTAATGTGTGATGGATTGAGGTGCAGCTTGGGAAGGAAAGGTACTGTTCTGCTTGAAGAGGTATACATATAGAAAAAAATCATGTTAGCTATGTGTAAAACTCATGAATGCTCAGTGGAGGGATCACTCTGTTGAAGGTGTTTCTAGGGCTATTTGCTGCAGCCAGAAAAGGTGTCTCAAATAAGAACATACCCAGAGCATGTTTCCAGGCTGACACGGCTACCCTGGAGAAGGGGAAGCTCTTGGTGTCTACTCTGGAGTTGTATTCACAGCTAATAAAAGGTCCAGGCTCAAGGATCTGATCTCTCAGAAGGTTGTCAGTACAATAGGTCAATACATGCCCTTTGGTTTACAACAGGGAATTCATGCAGATTCATTGTGATGGTCTAACGTATTATCTGGAACGCTTGTTTTTTGGCCATATACAATGCTTCATCTGTGCCTAGCTCAATAAAAAAAAAAATTCCTTGGGAGCAAGAAAGATGTGTGTGTGACATATAGTCACATAATAAATAGACTTTGAACACTGCTGCTTGAGGGCAATTCCAAGAAACCTCTTGTTGTAGCTCCTGGTTTCTGACAGTCAGGATGCCCATTGTAGTCTTCTGGGGTTCAGAGAAAGGCACTAGTGTGCCCAAGTGTCTGGTGCTGTAAGACCTGAGTAGTGGGTGGTTCTCCACCTTCCCTCCCCCCTGTAACACTGGTTCTCATTTCCACAAGCAGTGGGAATACTGCTGGGACTGGGGGCCAGCTGGCAGAGGGGAACCTCCAAAACCCCCAATGCAAGACTCTTGTGGGATAAGTGGATTTAACATCCCTCTGACAGGCACTGCAGGCCCTGTGTGTGGGTGCCCACGGGCGTCTGTCGCTCCGAGGCTTTGGAGATGGGGCTGTGAGATGCCACGAGCTGACATGGTGGCTCAGCGCTGCTTCCCCACCTCCTGCTCCTGCTGTTACTTTGGCTCCTGCTTTACCTGACTGGTCTCACTTATGTGGCAGAAAGCTTTCCTGGAGCAGCAGTGGCTCGTTCCTGTTGCGTTAGCAATGGCTGTTTCACAGAGGTGCAGTAACCGCTGCAGCAGGCGCAAAGATGGGGGCAGAAAAATGGAGGTGGGGAGATGCTGTGCTCAGCTAGATTAGAGAGTTGATCCAGTTGAAAACTATCTCAAAAAAAAAAAAAAAAAAAAAAAATCACCAACCCCCCAAAAAACAGCTCAACACCAAAACCTTTTAATTTTCAAACTAACATGCTTAATCCATCTGATTTCCTGACCCACCCAGAGGTAATGCTGGTGTGAGGGGGTTTGGGATGAGCAGCTGGGGCTGATTTGAGTTGACACTATTGCCGCATTCCCCTTCCTCCTGCTTGGCTGGGGTGGGCCCCACACCTGCACCAGTGGCTATCTGATCCCAGAGTGAGCTAAACTAGGTAGAAATTATTTTTTTAAAATTTTTTTTAAGTGCTGGATTAGTTTTCTGCTGACTTTGCTCCCTGAGTGTGTTAGCTGTGGGATGCGGGTTGATGACTGAGGAAGGGAGAATGTGTTAATGTGTGGTCAAGGACAGGCTCTGGGTGGGAGTGTGGGACTGTGGCGGCTGCAGCTTTCATCTGCTGGGAGTAGGTGTGAGCACAGCCTGGGAGAGGCACGGAGGGGGGCTGACTGGAGAGCTCTGAACCCCCCCAGGGATCGGTGGGCAGGCGTCTGTCAGGTTAAATGGCAAGTATTGCTGGACCCCTACACAGCGTCCAATTGACTTGGCTCACTTGGAGGTGAGACAACCAAGTTGCTAAAAAAATAAATCAAAGCAGACAGGCAAACGCGTGGGGTTTGCAGAGGGATGCAAGCTATTAGCTACAGGCAAGAGGATGTGGAAATTTGTGTCTGTTTGTTTATTTTTCCCTTCGGTGCTGTTCTTTTACAGTTTGGATGCACAATCCCAGGTAAGCCAGGCTGGAAGATGTCCGCGGCTGTTCTTCCCCAGTGCCCACTGCCATGCTCTGCTCCCACACTGAGAGCTCAAACATGACGAGTGTATCCTGATAAACGCAGCACAAGCCGGAAAAAGGGGAGACGAGTCCCTGGTCTGGTACGTTAATCGCTGGCTGCCCGAGGCCTCGGTTCCAGTTCTGTGGTGCATGCAGTATTTCATGTGTGACTGAGCTTTGTGATGCCTTGATTCTGTCCTCATCAGAAAATGACAGTCTGAGCATCGTTACATTCTGTAGTTCTGGAAAGTGCTGAAAAAAAAAAATCAGTTTTCAGCCCCAAATATTCTGATCCTCTAAGGCAGTGTCCTATAAATCTAGTTACAGGTTCTTCTGTATTAGCTCTGAGTGCTGCAGCACTCTTTTAATCCTAACAATGATGATGTAGAAGGATAAAACCAAAATAGGTGCTCCTGTGGCTTTGTACAGTGTAGAATTGAGTGTAATCCAAATAATATCTAGTGCTTTTATAGGGCTGTATGCATATGGCATAAATGACAGCTAATTAAACTTTATATCCTGCCTACAAGATAAGCATGTAATTAGTATTACATCCTTTTTTGTAATTAGGAGACCTCATCCAAAAAAATGTGGCTCGCAAACCATATCTGAAGGCAGTGACTCAGCCCGAATTAGGCTGTGGTGTGAAGATTGAGAAAATCGTGCTTTAGACCTGTCAGTGAATAAAAAAGCAGAGACAAAAGGTTGAGCTGGTATCAGGTTGCTGTGCCTGGACACATCCGCTGGAAAGCATAGGTGGATTAACTTTTTAATGTCGGGCTCGGGCTGGGTCCCATTCTGCCAGCCCTGCGTGAAGCCCAAGCTTTGTGTAAGAGCATCCATCTTCCCCAGTTTGCAAAAAAGCATAAAGCTGGCACCGGCTCCGCGTCATGTTTCATGGCTGACTTGACAGGAATGCCACCGCGCTTGATCCGGAACGCACTGGCTGTGAGGCACAGGGGCTTGCGTTGGCTGAGCTGTGGCCGCCCCGAGCCCTCCTCGCCAGCCCCAATGGCTGAGCTGGGGAGAAAGAGGGAATTCCAGTCATCCGGGGGATTATCCCCAAATGTGTCTGTTTGTCACAGTCTGGGGCGAGAGGCCATCGCCGGCTCGTATGTGCGTGCATGTGTGTCTGCCCGGGGGGAGGCTGCAGGGGGGGCTCGCCTGGGACTTGGTGCTGTCATTTATGGCGAGAATGAATTTTTCTCAGATTCATGGGGCTGGTGCTGACTGTCTCGCCTGTTTTATTGCCCGTTAGCCACCATCCACCTTATGGCAGCCAGAGCCAAAACCATGAGGAGGAACGATCGTTTTGTGGGTTGCAGTTTGCTCCTGGAAGGTCCTGGCTGAGGGAAGGAGGTGACGAGGCAGCTGCTGTTGCTCCGGCCAAATTCCTGGCGCGTTCCTGAGGGAAACGGGCTGCCGGGTGCATGCAGGGCTACGCAGCCCTGTCCTGCCCATCCCAGTGCCCCTTACTGGGCTGGAGGCAATGAACTGGTGGTGGGCCTGCTGGGGACAGGGCCCTGCAGTTCCTCTGTAGCGCCAGGCTGGCACACTTTTGCGACAAGTCGTTTTTGCAAGAGATTAAAGGGTTTATTTTCTCATCTCGCATCGTTATCGAATAATCTCTGACACAGATGCTTAACGGGCGGAAAAAACGTGGACAGCCGCAAACCCGGAGAGGCCAAACCAGCCCGGCACCGAGTAGGCAGTGGATGCTGCTTTCCCTGCACTGATAGCTGTCAGGTTGGTTTATTTATTTTTTTAAACCCCCAAAATACCAAGAATTGGTGCGGGTGGGGTGGAGGGTGTCTCCCTGTAATCCAGATGTTCCCCAGCTTGCTGCACGGGGGGAACTGCCCCGCGCCGGGAAGGTGGACGAAACGCTGGGGGAGGCTTTGGAGTAATCCCTCTTCATTTGTGGGAGCGGGGAGCTGGCGGTGGCCCGGAGCGGGGCCGGGGCGCTGAGGGCTCCGCAGGCCGCGCCGGGGCCGCCCCGGCTCCCCCTCAGGCCCCGCCGGCCCCCTTCGCCCCACCCCCGCTGCTGATTGGCTCCCGGGGCGTGACGGGCGGGGCGCCGGGGAGGTGTGTCGCGGCGCGCCGTGCCCGCCCATTGGCTGAGGGGCGTTAGCGCGCGGGCCCGGCGGGCGGCGGCGGTGGCGGCGGCGGCGGCTCCGCCCCCCGCCCGCCGCGCCTCAGCGCTCCGCTCCGCACGGGCCCGAGCGCGGCCCCGCTCCTCCGCCTCAAAAATAAAAATTAAAAAAAAAACCAAAAAAACAAACAAAAAGCAACCCCCCGAACCCTTGTCGTTTTAATTTTTTTTTTCTTTTTTTTTTTTTTTTTTTTTTTCCTGTGGGGATCGCGGTGCGGGCAGCATGGGGCTGCCGGCGCTGGAGTTCAGCGAGTGCTGCCTGGACAGCCCGCAGTTCCGGGAACGGCTCCGCTCCCACGAGGCCGAGCTGGAGAAGACTAACAAGTTCATCAAGGAGCTCATCAAGGACGGGAAGTCGCTCGTCGCCGCCCTCAAGAGTAAGTGAGGGGCCGGGGGGCGGCCCTCTGCTCCCCCCCCCCCCCCCCTCCTCCCCCGGCGTTGCCCACCCTGGGCCGTGGCCTCCAGGTCCCTCACGGGCCACCTGCTCCCACCCTTGTCCCCGCGGCCCTTTGGCGTGCACGGTCGCGGTCCACCGGGTCCTGCTCCGTGGCCTCTCGGGGGCTGCACCCTTTGGGGGGTGACGGGGCTGGGGTGATGGGTGGGTGCTGTGCTCCCCCCCGGTTGTCCTCTGTCCTCTCTCTGTGCAGGGTGGGGGGATGCCCAGTGCCCCCAGTCTGGGTTCTGCCCGGGCTGACCCCACCAGTGCCACCTTCTCCATCCCCAGACGGTTGCTGGGTGGGAGAGCTTCAGGCTGGGGGGCAAAGCTGCAAACCCCCAGTTTGTGGTGGGGGGCTATGTGGGAAGGGGGTTGCTGCAACACAGGCTGCGGCTCCAGGGAGACCCTCGCCTGCGGCTGGCAGTGTCCCAGTTGCCCCTCATGCCCCCGGCTCCATCCCCACGGCCAGGGCTGGGGACACCTCTGCATGGCCATCCACTGCCACGGTTGGGTGGGCTGCTTCCCGAGTGGCAGCTCTGTTCCCACTGTCATTGTCTCCCTCCCCTCCCCCCCCCCCCTTGCCACGGGGTCATTTGAGTTTTTTTTTTTTCTGTTTAAAAATTTCTTTAGCCCAAATCACCACCCTAGCCAGTATGTTTCCTGTGCCCAGCACGCCGGCAGAGTGAGTTGTCACCTCGCTGAGCTTGCCATACCCTGCTCCGCTTTGGTGCCGTGGGGAGGGGGCACGTCCACGCAGGTGGAGCCCACCGGCCAAGCGCACCACCTTGTCCCATCCCAGGAGGGCTGAGCCACAGCCAGGGGGCTGATTCTTGCCCCTTCCCCTTCAAATCTCACACTGAGCCCCACGGGCGCAGTTCCCCTGTGCAGCAGCTGGTAACATCTGGATTACAGGGACCCCCCATTGTACCAATTCTTGGCATTTTGGGTTTAAAAAAAAAACCAAACAAGCAAACCCAAAGGAACCTGACACCTATCAGTACATTTATAGTTCTGCATGTCTTCTGCTGCGGTGCGTTTGCCTGTCGAGCTGAAGGCAGCCTGTGCCTGTCCCTGCCTGGAGCATTCATTTTATCGCAGAACAAATCCTATGGCATCGTTCTTCACTGAAAGTAAATTTTAAGAATGAACTGGTGGGTCCCAAGGGTGTTTGTCTCCAGGCTTAGTCAGTGGGTACTTTTAGAGGGTCACTTGGCAGGTGCTGGCCAAGGGGGCTGGCTGTGCCCTCGCCCCTGTCATGCTGCAGGGCAGGTATTTTTGGGTGTGCTGAGCTGCTGTGTGCTCGTGGCTGCTGGTGGGTTCCTCTAACGTGGCCGTGCTGCACAGCCCCCCATGCTCTGGCTGCCTGCGCCAGGGCAGGAAGAAGGCTCGCCAGCCTCCGGAGATAAGGATGTTTTTTATGGCTGAATTGTTTTGTAGCCTCTATTGAATGCGTTCCTGGAATAGACCTTAATTCCTGTACAGGGCTGGGGGTGTGTTCCACTGATGCCCAGGCTGCGGTCAGTAAGGGCATGATGATGATTTTTGCTGGAGTGTTAATTCCCGAGCACTGGCGCTGCCTGGCCTCGTGGTTGCATTGCATGTGTGTATGGCAGCAGGCGTGGTGGCAGGTCCCCACAGAGGGTCTGCAGGGCCCTTTGGGGGAGGTTTGGGGGTGCAGGGGGGGCTGGGGATGAGTGTCCCCTCCCTGGCTGTGATGCTCGGCTGCTCTGTGCGTCCTCCTGTGCGTGGCCCCTTGTCCCGCTGTGCGAGCGACTTTGCTGGCTGTGGGCGAGCTGTGATGCCTGTGACTTCTCCAGCAGCGACCTGGAGCGGGACAGGATCTGGCCCAGCTCTTCCCACACGTGTTACCCTCTCGGTGTGTGAGAGGTCTGAGGGCTGGCCGTGTTGCATGGGCTATTCCAGGCGCTCCGGGTGTCCGTCAGCAGGGATGGAGATGCTTCAGGGGTGGAGAGCTGCTGCTCTGCCTCTTGCTGGGTGTTGTTCCCATTTCTCTACCTCAGGTGTTTGGGACGGCACCGCCGTGAGTGGGTGCGGGTGGGACCTGGAGACTGTTCCTGGAAATGCCCAGGTGCTCGCTTCTCTTACCTGGCTTTTATTTTACCCTGGTGTCTCCAAGCAGTTTGTCTCCCCATGGCTGGGCAGGGTGGCCTTACCTCGCTTACCTTGGCCATTGTGGAGGAAGTGTGGATGCAGGGCCGGGCAGGTCCAGGGAGCAACAGACCCCCCGGCTTGGGGCACGCTGCCTCTGGAGTGAGGGGCTTGGAGGGTGGCTCAGCTCTTGTCAAAGTGAGGCGGCCTGCAACCACAGTTACGTGAACTCTTGGCAATATCCTCTCTCATTTTCCTTCCTCTTGCATTTTCTGCTGAATGTTTCACGTCCTCTTTGTTTTAAGACAGGCGCAAGGAGAACATAACTCTTTGTGTATCAGTGAGGAGCGATGTGGAGAGTGGCTTGGATGGGGCTGCAGTGTGTTTATATGACAGGGAGGAAGATGCAGGAGGGAGGAGGACCCCTGTACAGCCCCCGTGCCGCCAAGAAGCGGTGTGCAGGGATGGTGAGGATGGTGTGAAGGCACATAAGAAAGTCTCTCTCTGGATTTGGTGGAGGAGCTGTTCTGCAGCTACCCTGCTTTTGCCCTCTGGGAAGGTATGGAAAGAAATGGGACTGATTCACAGCGCTCCTTCGTTTGAAAGAGAGTAAATGTATAAGGTTGAAAGTAATCCTCATTTGCTGAAGGGCTGGTCTTGCTAAATATCTCCTTTTGCTGAGGGTATCTCTGGAGTGTGTGTATATATATATAAATTCAGAGGTTTTTTTTCTCCCTAGTGAGTATCTGTGCCTATTTCTATTGTCTCCCTTTTCTGCTTGGCTGGTATTAGGAGTGACCTGGTTTTCAGCAAAACGTGTCCCTCTTTCTCTCTTACACACCATACATAAATTATTCAAAAAGTTTTGCAAATGCAAAGACCTCAAGTGAGACATAAATAATGAACTCAAAGCTTGGATGCTGTGAAACTTGTTCTCCAACAAAGGAGCTGGGGTGACCATTGGTGCCAGGGGTGTGGAAGCTTTTTGCCCCTCTGCGTGTCCCCTGGGCCGGCAGGGAGTTGTGTCCTGCCTGGCAGCTGGTCCCAGAACGGCGGCTCCCACGGTGCCGGCATCACCTCCAGCCCCTCTGCTTCGGAGGAGGGAGATATCAAGCCCCGACGCCCAGATGGTGATGCAAAGATACTTTGCAGCTTGCTTTGGAAAACGAGCAGCGTATGTAACAACGGAGGATGTGGGGCTGCAGGTGGCTGGCAGCCATCGCCTCCCCCGTGCCACTGCACCTTCCTCCTCCTCCCCGCGGCCCCCAGGTCTCCCCGTGGCGGTGGGGATGCGGAGGGCTGTGAGCTGTCGTCTCCGTTGGACGCTGGAGCTGCAGCCCCGTGCCCTGCCACGTTTCTGCTCTTGTTTTGTTTTGCTTCTTCCTCCCAACTCCCAAGCACTAATTTGAAGCCACTGAACCCGTCCACGCCCCGGCCGCTGCTGCGCTCGCAGGTCGCAGGCTGCAATTTGTGCGGCGGGGCCGGGCTGGGGACGCCGGGGCCTCTGCAAACCCCCTGCTGCTGAGGGGTGCAAGGGCTGGACCCCGGCTGGGCGATACCGCACCCGGGGCTCCTGCGGGAAGGGCGGAGGGGCCCGTGCTCCTGAAAGGCACAGTTGGGCTGGTTTGGGGTTTTGGATCATTTTTCCTTTGCCTCTTTGTTGGGACGATTTGTGTTTGCCTGCGTAGCGCTGGGGTCACCGGGGTGGCCTGTGCTGCCACTGCGGGTGACCCCAGGAGGGCTTTTGCTGTGGCTGTGGGGGTTTTTCCTGGGACACATCCTGCTCCGTGGCTGCTGCACAGCTTAAAAACCAAAGCGGGGTGGCTCTGTGGTTCCTGGCGGTGCCGGCAGTGTGCGGGACTCGGCTGCGCGCTCTGGGCTGCTCTCGCCCACAGATTCTGTTCATGTCTGAGCAGCCTCTTGCTGACACCGTATGAAACGTCTGTGCCCGTGGCTGCGGTGCAGCAGTGCGGTACCCGGAGCTGGTGCCGACGCCGCAGCTCGCCTGGAAGCGAAAGCGAAACTTCTGTCCAGTTAACTCCCTTTTGATACAAACAAGGCTTAGGCTGGCAATAAGGAAATGTTTCAGACTTTGGCCCATACCTTCAGGTGCCTTCTGCCCCAGTCAATTTTGCTGCGGTCGCTGCCTCTCCCTGCCCACTCTGCACACCCCCCAGTTCGGCATGCTCGGTCCCCCCGGGAGAGGCACCCCGATCAGCGTGAGGCTGGGGGGGCCCTGGCCTGGGTGGTCAGAGCAGCCCAGCTCAATGGGCAGGTAGGTAACACGGTGCTGTGTGCTCAAAATGGGCTTGTTTGCCTCTGCAAGGTGGAAGCCCTCGAGTGTGTTGGAGGAAGAGCTGTGTCCTGAGGTGCTTGGTAACCTGGTGCTGTCTGGGGTGGCGGGTCCTCGTGCCCCAGCGCCATAGGCGCCTGCCAGCACTGGGGAGGAGAAACTCGAAGCCCTTCTTGGATTATTTTCATCCTTTTGTCCTTCTCCTCCCTGAAGAAAGCAGTAACAACCCAAACCTTCCCATTGCCTGCACAGAGGAGGGGGAGGGATTGGGATACAGAGGTTTAGGTCTGGCCTTTCCAGGAATGGCCCTTATTTTTGCAGGTGCAGACGTTAATGGTTAGAGACATGCTCCTGGCTAGGAGACAGCTGTGCTTCTGCAGACTTGGGGATGGAGGAAAGGGAGTGTTATGCTTTCTGGAGGGTGCAAAAACAAAGATACCCCCCCCCCCCCCCCCCCCCCCCCGTCGGGTTGCTGTGGCTCCTTGAGTTCGGTTCTGCTCTGGTTGTGCCGTGAGAAATGGTGTTTGGCTGCCACCATC